GTGGAGGGCAGACTGGATGGAGTACATGACTTCATGCCTGGTGATGAAGAACATGAGCTAGGAAGTTTGAGGGAGGGAAATGAGCATTTCTTTTCCCATTCTTGCCATTCCTGTAGCCCAGCAGTTCCCAGACTTTCTTATCTTGATCCCTTTACCTCTACCTCTTACAGATTATCCCCCATTCTTGACTCCCCAGGTCACTCAATCCCTTCCTTTCCAGCTGGCAGTGGGGAGACTCACCATCCATGTTGCAATATCACCTCCTAGCGGAGTTATGAGAGGCAACAAAGCTAAGACTGACCTTTGGAGCCCTCTGCCTGGATTTGAAGCCCAGTTCCGCCACTTTTTAGCTAGGTGAACTTGGCAACTTCTTAAAGCTTTCTCTCTGACTTTCAGTTTCCCCTCTGTAAAGCTGAGATAAAATTAGACCCTCCTGCATAGGGTTATTGTGAAAATAATTCAAGAAAAAAATGCCTAACACAGTGACTCTAACATTGACTCTCACAGGTCAGAACTCTTCAGCACCGTCTCCCAATAGCTGTTGGATTTTAATGCTGCGGTCTCCCCAGCCCCTATGAGAATCATACCCCCTTGTTGGAGAAGTCTCTTCCCTCGCCCCTCTCTCTGAGGAACTCAGAGCACTTCTCAGATATACTGCCTTGAGATCTCACAGATCCTTGGAGCAATGGGAACTTGGGACAACTCTCCCCATTTTACAGCTGGCCAAGGTAAGGCCCAGAGCTGTTCAGGGTAGGGTCAAAGCTTCAGAGAAAGGCAACGTGGACAAGAGAAGAAGAACATAGGCATGTCTGCAAGAGAAGTGGGATGGAGCTGCCCCCACTGAAGGTTTGGACTCTGCATGGGACCATGTTAGGGAAGGAGGGGTAGACAGTAAGAGGTCCAGGGGAAGTCACCTGCCCCCACAACCTACAGCAGGTATGTTCTAGGTATGTTTTGCTTCCTCCTTCAACTGCAACTCAGCACAACTGAACATAGAAAATTCTGGGTTCTCTGAGCAAGATTGGGAGTCAGGAGATCTGTGGCCTGATCCATTCCCAGCTCTGCCAAGAGCTTGCTCTGAAGTTAAGTTCTTTTGTCTGTAAAATCAGAGATTGGGCTGGATGGCTTCTAAGGTTCTTATCTTAAACCTTTTCAGAAATGGCCTCGTTGCAAAGTCACTTGGAGAAGGAGCCAGAAACCAATATCCCAGAATGCAACACTTCTACCCACCACTACATCTTCCCTGGGCTCCCATCATGCCCTAGAGAGTCCTGCTCCCTGAGGGGACATTGCCATTCCTGAAATAGCCAGCTGCTAACACACTTTTGCCTCTAGTGTTTGTGTGTGGTAGAGGTGGCAGTAGGAAGGAGGAGGTGGCAGAAGGAAGGAGGAGGAGGCAGCAGGAAGCTTGTTTGGACCTTGCACAAGAGAAAAAAAAAACAGGAAATAGAAGTGCTTCAATTTGGAAAGTAATTTTTCAAATAGTTTTCTTTTTTTTTTAGGCGACTGAGCATGACACCTGCCTATTCCCAAACTGATAGGAAAAACAGAGTGAGGAGTTCAGGATCTAACTACAATAGCAGAAACTGAGACCTTTGCAAGAATAGCTGAACTTGGTGAGGTGTGAGATGCTGAAATGGGTGGCTGCAGGAAAATGTGGAAATTTTTAGGTGTTTCTGACTTTCCGTGTTCTGCGTAGGGGGATGTATGACATGGCACATCCCCTGCCTTGCCCCTCCAGCATACCCTCGCACCCCACCCTGCCCCAGCCCCACCATGGATTCTCTTCCTGCCTGAGAATTCTAGAATTCTGCTTGGGTTGAGCAAGACAGTACATAGGAGGACTGAGTCGGCAGAATCCCTTGGGGCCCTGGTAGAAGGAACATGTTTGGCAATGAATGCGTCAGTGTGACCCCAGACAAGCAACTTAACTTGACCATGCAAAAGCCGAGGACATTCACTTCCTGTCCAGCAACAAAGCCTGGACTCTGCAGGGGAGCCCCGAAGCTTGGAAGCTGACCACAGCAGAGGGGTCAGGGAAGCTCTTCTTCCTCGAAGCCTTGACCTCAGCCCAAGGAGGCTTTATGATCTGGGTCATCAGGTCACATCACTTCCTAGGCCAAGCATCCTGAGTCTGTAGCCCTGGCCTGGACACAGGTTGAGGATCCAGAGGAAGAAGATGACAACCGCAGCCTTTAGGGGCTTCTAGAATGGTGGTGGAAGCATAGCCTATGGACTCTGCCCTCAGGAGTGGACAAGGATGATAACAGATTAAAATAATCCTATAGACACTCGTGGAGTAATACAATACAATACAATACTAACTCAAAATTAACATAGCACAAGCCACCACCTAGTAAAGGATGAACTGACTTAATCAGAGACAGCTTCTTAGAGGTGATTTTTAAGACTGATATTAAAAGGAAAAAGGAGAAGGGAGTCATTGATTCTGTAACAATTGATAGGTCAAGAGTGGGAGGGTCTTCTGGTTATGAAGAATAACCTGAGGGCAGCCTCTACACCAGGAATGGATTAGCACACAGCTATCTATATGTAGAAAGTCTATGAGCTCACAGCAAGTTATTCCCCAGCCCTGAGTCTGTCTCCCCATCCATAGAACAAGTTGTTGTATGCCATCGAGTTGATTCCAACTCATAGCGACCCTATAGGACAGGGTAGAACTGCCTCGTAGGGTTTCCTATGCTGTAATCTTTATGGGAGCAGATTGCCAGGTCTTTTCTCCCACGGAGCCGCTGGTGGGTGGGTTCAAACCACTGACCTCTTGGTTAGCAGCCAAACCCTTAACCATTGTGTCACCAGGACTCCCTATAGAACAGGGAAGAGAGCAGCGTAAACAGTTCCTACCACCCCTTCCAGCTCCAGCATTCTGTATTTCACTATCCTAAATTGTAGGGAGGAATCCAAGAGTAAACTGACTTTAGTAGAGGTGAAAACAAGGAGCCCTGGTGGCGCAACGGTTAAGTACTCGGCTGCTAACCGAAAGGTCAGCAGCTTGAACTCACCCAGCCACTCTGCAGGAGAAAGTCCTGCTCCTGTAAAAATTACAGTCTAGAAAACCCTATGGGGCAGTTCTACTCTGTTACATGGGGTCGCTATGAGTCGGAATCAACTCGACGACACCTAACAACAACAGAGTCGAAAACAGGTGATAGATAGGAAGGGAGCAGGCCAGGCTCTTGAGGCATCCAATCTGGGAGTAAACCAGGTGTTATGTATTGAACTGAGTCACCTAAAAATATATACTGAAGCCCTAACCCCTGGTACCTGTGAACATGACTTCGGAAATAGGGTCTTTGAGGATGTTAGCAGTTACTATTAGGTCATAATGGAATAGGATGGGTTCTAATCCAGTCTGAATGGTGTCCTTATAATAAGGAGAAAAGACACAGAGAGACAGAAGAAGAACAACCCTGTGAAAATGCATCTACAAGCCAAGGAACGCCAGGGAAGAAACAAGAATGGATCTTCCTCTGCAGACTGGGAACTTGGCCCAGACGACATGTTGATTTTGACAGCTAACCTCCAGAACTGTGAGACAAGAGATCGCTGTTGTTTAAAGCCACCCACTTTATGGTACATTGTTACGGAGCCATAGGAAGCCAATACACCAGGTATATCAACTGGGGACGAGCAAACTCAAGCTCCATTCTGGCCAATCATCATTCAAGACTGGTCCCTGCAGAGTCATCCCAAGGTAGAAGGCAGCCTATGGCTATGACAGAACGAACTTAGCTGGACGCAGAGAGACTGAAATGTGCCAAGAAGGTAAGACTGGTCTCAAAGTGTGTTACAGCTTTGAAATGACTCACCTATCCCTCCTGACTACAGACTACTGCCCACAAACTGTTGCCAGGCTCAACAGTACCAGCCCTGGCTGCCAGCTATTACCCCAATCCTCAAATTCTTCATCTGGCCCATATGTCTGGATCTAGACTGGCACCTATGGCTTAGAAGTTTGCCCAGAGAGAAGGGAGCTGCCAAGAGAGGCCTGGCCCAGGGCAGGACAGCCAACATGGCTTCATTAGGTTCAGGGAGATGGTAGTGGGGTTTGGAAGGCCTTGAATGGTCTGCAGTCACTGGGTGGTTGCAAACAACTAAGCAATTGACTACTAACCAAAAGGTAGGTGGTTCAAACTCAACCAAAGGCACCTCAAAAGACAAGTCTGGTGATCTACTTCTGAAAGGTCACAGCCATGGAAGCCCTACGGAGCAAAATTCTATTCTGCAACACATGGGGTCGCCATGAGTCAGAATTGACTCTGGCAATTGGTTTGTTTGGGTGTTTGAATGGTCTGCAGAGCACAAAGATGCTTCTGGGCCCCTCATCTTGCACTGAAGGATGCACTCACTGGCCTTTGCCCTGATTCCTAATATTTTCCATCCCATATCACCTTTGCCAATTCCAATGGGTGCCATGGGCAGAAATAAGTATGGAAAGTAGGGAGTATGGCAGGATTACGGCTTGACAAAGCACAAGACTGATACATGTCATGAAACACGGTCCAGGGAAATCCCCAAACAGAAGTGCCCAGCTGGTTTCCCCATCACTTTGGGTAACTTTCCATTGCCACCTCCACCCCACCCCACCTCCCCCCAGGTGTCTTCTAAAGAATGTATTGCTCACTTAGTGACCTCTTGGCATGGGATCATAAGAAGTAATGAGCTCAGTTCCTGAGCTTGAGAAACTACAGTCTACACGAGAAAACAAAACGTACACTCATGCAACAAGTAGGGAGGACCCAAGAGAGTACACAATGACCAAGGGTCAAACTGTAATATAAGAGGCTCAGAGAAGGAGGAAGCAAAGATAAGGCAGCTACTCACCTCATATATGCAAATCATTGACGTGTAGGAGGCACCTCTTAGTAGTCCCTGGGTGGCAGAAACAGTTAAGCGCTTGGCTAGTAACCAAAAGATTGCCAGTTCAAACTCACCCGGGAGAAAGACCTGGTAATCTGCTTCCATAAAGATTACAGCCAAGAAAACCCTTTGGGGAGGTTTTGCTCTGTCACATGGGGTCACTATGAGTCAAAAACAACTTGAGAGCACCTAACAACAAGAGAAGACAGGAGGCAAGGAGAGCTGGACCAGTGGGAAGAGGCTTCGTGGAGGAGGGACATCTAATGAACAGTGGCTTGGAAATTAGTGAGTAGGTGAGAGGTTGGAGGGCGTGGTTTAGGGAGCAGAGGACAGAACGTTAGAGTACAGGGTGGGGACAGGCAGAGAGAGAAGCTAGAGTAAAATAAACCACCATTGGTTGAATGCCTACTATATGCTACCCACAGTGCCTAGAAATAACTTTCCAACTGTTATTTCATGTTTATTCTCCCAACAAGAATGATACTATATTTATTTCTATTCTACAGATGGGGAAACTAAGGGGCTTAAATAAACTTAGACTCGACTCGATGGCCAATGAGAGGTCTCTGATAGTGGCCGAACTGGGGAGTAGCTTGCGAGTAATGATAATGGAGTAAGATTGGCCTGGTGGTGGTGTCCAGGGTGCTGGAGAACATTGCCCATCTACTTCCTGAGGAGTCAAGAGAGGACGTGAACCATGGCGACCTTAGGACACTGAATGATGATCTCTGACCTAGGGAGTCAGCTCGTGACTCAGGTACACTAATTTTATCCCCAAGGGCCTTTTCCTGCACCTGGGGTCAGCCCTGTCCCCACTCACTCTCCTTCTCCTGGTGCTCAGGCTCTTGCTTGTCAGTAGGCAGCCTCCTCTCTGGCTCCTACCCAAGGGTTGATTGGATGCTATAACTAATTATCACCAACTGTTAGGAGGCCAGCGAGATGTTATCATCACAATCACCATAACTTTGGCTATGACTAATCCAGTAGTGTCAGAGATTCAGAAAGCATTGATAATTACTACAGTTATTTTTTCCAGCCTTTGTGTTTTTCCTGCTTTCGAGGTTCCAGGTGTGAGATGGAGGGTAGAAAGAAGGCCATACCTTTCCTAGCACTGAGAGCAGGCACCATTTGGTTCAGCCTCACACCCAGCCTTGTGGTGGGTGAGGTGGGGCTGTGAAGGTCCTATCTGACTGTCCAAGCAGCATCTTGATGGAGGGCTGAACATCACTGAGTAATCTGGGGACTGGAGTGAGTCAGGCCCGATGGGGGAATCGGAAGCACTCTAACAGATCACAACTGCCAGCGCGTGCAGCCGGGGAATCCCTCAAGGGAACCTTGGACTCACGCTGACCAAAGAGGGCCTGAAGGAAAATCCTGTCTTGCTACACGACTCCTGATTCATGGTTTTCCCTCTTGGGGTTTGGCTCACGTGCTGCCCCAGAGCAGCCACCACCAGCTGCCTTACGTTAAACTGTCACCCCCAAAATTCCTCGGATAGCAAACCCGCCTGGGATGGACAGGCTCGAGGGTCAGGAACTATAACGTCGTCTGCAGAAGGCCTCGACCAGCTGAGCGACCTAGCTGACCCTCAGTGTCCTGTGTGGGTATCCCACTAGCACATTCACAGACGCAAACACAAGTCCCCCCAACTCTGCAGTGGATCCTGAAAGCCCTTCCGTCCACCATTGTTAAAATGTAAACCATTCCTGATGAGGGACAAAAAAGGGGGAAGAAAACTAACATTTATTTGGGTGCTTTCTATGTATGTGCTAGTCCCTGGATGGTACAAATGGTTTACTCGCGATTGCTAATCGAAAGGTTGGTGGTTGGAACCCATCCAGTGGCACCGTGGAAGAAAGGCCTGGTATTCTGCTTCTGTAAAGATTACAGCCAAGAAAACCTGATGGACCTCAGTTCTACTCTGTAACTTATGGGGTCACCATGAGTTGAAATCAACTCAACAGCAACAAGTTTGTTTTTTTTGGTTTCTACATGCCAGGTGCCATGTGGGACACCTCAAGTACTTCATTTCAGTTAATCTTCACACAACCCTATGAAATGTATTATTATGACTCTTTGATTCAAGAGGAAACTGATGCTCAGCAGTTTCACAGTTTGCCCAAGGCCACTCAGCAGAAGCTGGCAGAGCTGGAATTAGAACCTAAAGTTCTCTGATTCCACAGCCTACCATTTTCCTAATCTGCTAATTGGCTCCCCCATAGCTCTGTCGAGAAGCAACAGAGTGTGGTCACTGCAGCTGCACTGCCTGGGTTCAAATCCTGGTTCCGACAGTTAACTAGCTGTGTGAGCTTGCCTGGGCACATAACCTCTCTGACCCTTGGTTTCCCCAACTGGAAGACAGGCTAATAATCAATCCCAAAACCAAACCCATTGCCGTCTAGTTGATTCCAACTCATAGCAACTCTATAGGACAGAGTAGAACTGCCCCATAGGGTTTCCAAGGAGCAGCTGGTGAATTCAAACTGCCACTCTTTTGGTTACCCAGTTTTTCCAGGGCAGCCCTGTCTGAGAGCATATGTCACTGCTAACTAAATATTGTCTTTAACAGGGCCCCTGAGGCCATGCCCAGGTCAGGATTGGGGAAGGAGAAGATGATCTAAGGACATCAGACCTGCCCCCAGGCTCAAGAACACCCAGCAGCGTGCCCTCAGGAGGTGAGTGGGAGGTTGGTTTGCTTGTATTATTCCCGGGGTGGATTTTTTATGCTGTTCCCCAGGCTTCCTCAGAAGCCTAGAACAAAGAGAAGGCATCTTGAACTTACAGCCTTCAGAAGCCACAGATATGACTAGGATGATGACGCAATTCCAAAGAACTGGGCATGATCCTGTGCTGACTGGTGCTGTTCATCTTTCATATTGGGAGAGGCACATGAGATGATAAATCCTACCAGCCCAGGAAAGCCCAACACAGCACCGCTCTCGTGCTCCAATATCCACAGACACACGGAAGAGGAATACTCCACCCACCCTAGACACCCTAACTGGGGTAAACCAAAAAAACCAAACCCACTGCCGTTGAGTTGATTCCAACTGGTGGATTCAAACTGTCGACATTTTAGTTAGCAGCCGAGCTCTTAGCCACTCTGCTACCAGGGCTCCTGTCTGGGATAGTATCAGTTAAAAATATAAGAGTTTTCCTGTGAGGGAGAGAGATTATAGTCATAATCCAGTTTTAAAAACATCCAGTTGGTCAGTTCCCATTAAGAAAGCAGAGCTTTTTCAGGGGAAGGAGAAGGTACCATTTGGTAAGGGTGAAGCTCTTGAAAAGGATGCCACACTGAGCCTTTGGAAGCCAGAGAGCTGGGGAGAAGATATGAGAGGCCTGGCATGGGGCACAGGAAGAGAGGGGCTGGGCATGGTAAGAAGAAAACCAAAGCTAGACCAGCCCAGGAGGAAGTGAAAGAGGCCACTCCGGCGCTCCAATTGGAATCTGACTATTATAGGTGACGGGTAATGTTGATCTTTCATATTAGAATTAGCAGACGGGATGGTATATCTGACCCATCCTGGGAAACCCCCCTGCCCACAAATATCTCACAAGCATCATACAAGAGGGAACAACTTAGAAAGAAGGGATAAACAAAGATATCAATTTCCATCTACCAAGCCATCCTAAACTTCCTGACTCCATGCTAAGAGAAACCCACATGGAATCGTGGGTCTTGCCTTCAATCCTCCTGTGTGCCTGAAGGGGATTGTGAAGATGATGAAACCCTAGCTCCTTTCCAGCACCTCCAACTGCTTCTGCTCAAGTGATGTGGCTCTGTCAGAGGGGGAGGGGAATGTTGGGGCCAAGGGGATGAGGTGTCAGAGGCAGGAGATGGGCTTGTAAAGCCCCAGACACCTGCCAGGGCCCTAAACTTGCGTCAGAGTCTGTCTCCCTCGAAAGGAAAGAAAGCAAGGGTGCCACAACCAAATCACAGTAGCCGGAGTGGAAAATCTCAATCTGACACAGGCCGTTGGTGCTGGGGAAAATTCTGCCGATGAACCATATTGAGACTCAACGATATTTATCTTATATGGTTACCAGGCTTGGGTTTTTGGTTTTTTTCCTCTTTTTCTATTCGGGAGGCGGGGGCATTTTCCTTTCACTGCAGTGGAGGTGGCAGCTAAAGCATGTCCCTGGGCAGGCAACAACCCACGAGAGCGGCTGACTCTCAGCAGTGACAGGACACCACGGACTCAGGTTTCTTCTGGGATCCTGAGAAGATGGCACCATGGGAGAACTGCAACCCTCCTGGCATTTTTTAACATTTTAAAAATCACTGAAGCCACACTCCGCATTTTGGCATGGTGATATGGGTAAAGAAAAGAACCGCTGATCAAGAGGTCAAAGTACTAGTGCCTACACGGCCACTTTCAAGGCTCTGGACTTCAGTGTCCTCGTCTGTAAAGAGAGACGGTTGGCATGGAAATAAACTGGAAAATAGATTCCAAAATTCCTTTCAGCTCTCATAGTTCTAAGCACTCGACTTGGAGTCAGATCTGAATTCTGATACATTCTGATTATATGACCTTGGGCAAGTCAAATAACCTCTCTAAGCCTCGGTTTCCTCATCTGTAAAACTGGACTAAGCAGCCTACTCCTTATTGATATAATACATGGGAGGGCACTTTGTCATCCTTGAGCTACCAGTCACGTGGAGAGCATACATATTATTCCCACATATCAGGGCAAATGATAATGGAAGGTTTTGATTATCTGGACCCTCCTGGTGCTCCACGACACTAGCCAACAGGCTTATGATAAAGCAGGAGAGGGCTTTTTGGGACTTAAGGAAATAGTTTTTGAACACCAGGATAATTAAACATTATGAAATCTTTTCTGAAAGACTTCAGGAAAGGAATAAGCAAGAATTAGTGCCAGAACGTTTAATCATTTCCTTGCTTGAAGACATGGACCTGGACCAGAGGACCCCTTGAACCCTTCTAGTGAAAAAATGCTTTAAGTCTCCCTTCTAAGGGTGGAAGGAGCCCTGTGGTACAGTGGTTAAGCGCTCAACTGCTAACCAAAAGGTCAGAAGTTCCAACCTACCAGCCACTCCATGGGAGAAAGATGTGACAATCTGCTTCTGTAAAAATTACAGCCTTGGAAACCCTTTGGGGCTGTTCTACTCTGTCCTATGGGGTGGCTATGAGTCGGAAGTGACTCGATGGCTTTTTGTAAGGGGGCGTGCTGGGAAAATAATCTACATGGGTAAGAGCCCTTTGGATTTAAACTGGACTATTTTCAACCTCCAAGGCTTGCTGGACTCTGGGATGGCTGCCTAGAAGATGCTGGTTAGAAGGTATGAAAGCATGGCAATATTTTCTGGAACAATGTATTGGGAAGATGGGTGGAGGAGCGGGGAGTGGATGAGGTTAAGAAGGAATGAAGAGGAGTAGATTAGTAGTTTCCAAAAGGGGAAGTTCAGTGAGTAGGTATGGCTACTCTTAAAAGAAGCTGTGGGTTTTATAGTTTGTGGGTTTTATTAAAGGTCTAAGTTTTGAGGTCAAATCTGGATTCATATTTCTGCCTCCACCACTTACTGTGTAACTCACGTGACTTGCTTGAGCCTCGTTTTACTCTTCTGTCAAATGAGGTTAATAATAAACTCTTGAGGTTGTTGTAAAACTTAAAATGAAATCATATAAAGAGCCTGCACAGAGTAAGAAATCAAAGGATGACAATGGAAAACCAACCAAATCAGGTGGTAGCTGGCCGTGGGCATCAGCAGGGGTCCATGGGCTCAGGGCCTTGGGTAGGATGTGTCAAGTCTATGTCACATAGTAGACACACAATATAGGGCTTCAGATGGCTGGCATTAGTCATAGGAGAGCTGCAAAGAGTCACACACAAGCACACCCTCACACTCACACTCACAACAGATAAGATTGCTTAAGTTTGCCTCAGTCCCAGGGATGAATAACAGGTCTGCAGACCAGTGTGTTTCCCCAGCCATGTCGCCAGGAAGGATGGCCCACAGGATCCCAGAGAGCCCTGAGCAGAGGGGGATTTTAGAAGGAAGCTTACTGAAAAGCATAGGTTCCCATGGCTGTGAAGGATGCTGGAAGAAAGGAAAGTAACACTGGCGTGGCAGCCCAACACAGCGAGGTGGAGATGACAGTGCAGCCCAGGGAAAGGCTGTGTGGTCTCATGGTCTACGCCATGGCTGGGTAGGGGAAACTCCAGGGGCCTATTCCTGTCTCGGACTCTGGGAAAAGCCACCAGGGCCTCCCTCCCTGAGTCAAGGACAAGACCACAAAAGGGGCTAACTCTTTCACGTCTTTAGCTATTCTGTGGCCTTAAAGGATTTAACCTATTGGCAAGCCTCTTTGATCCTGTACAAGGGAGGAGAAAGAAACGAATGCTCTCCCCATTTCACAGAGAGGGAAACTGAGGCTCACTCAAGTTGGGAAATACAGAGGTGGGGGCAGGGTGAAGAGCTCAGTATCCCTCACCCCATTCCCACAGATCCAACTCTTGGCTACAGTGGGCCCTGCAGCCTCGTACTGCTCCTGCGCTACTACCACTACAGCCTGCAGGAGTAAGCTCTGGCTCGCTCCGTGTGGCTTGTGGCAGCCCAGCCTCAACTCCTCCCTACGGTTTACTCTAAAGTCCTCTGACTTTACATGAAACGAAACAGAAGCTCTGGCTGTAGTCATCGCGTCCAGAAGCTCCGTTGTCCTGCTCCCCAGCTCATCTGCCTCCACCAAGGACCCTGCCTGGTGAGTCCCCAGCAGCCACTACCCACACTCAGGGGTGCTGTCAACTCTTCCTCCCCTTGCACAGACATTTGGATGCTCAAAGTTATTTCACGAGGCCCAGAAGGGAAAGCAAAATTGGGGTATCAACAGTAATAGTTGTTCGAAAGTCGTGGTAGTGGTTGTAGTAGTCATAGCATAAGCAATGGGATTGCCAGGTAGCGATCATTGAGTAAGAAGCCCTGGTGGTGCGATGGTTAAATGCTTGGCTGCTAACTGAAAGGTCAGTGTTTTGAACCCAGCAGTAGCTCCGTGGAAGAAAAGACCTGGGGATGTGCTCCCATAAAGATTACAGCCTAGGAAGCCCTGTAGGGCAGTTCTACTCTTTATGTAGGGTCATTGTGAGTTGCACACAACACCAACAAGAGCAGTCATTGAGTACTCGCTCTGTTTATCCCAGTTTTCTCCTCTACCTAGTCTGTTGTTAGCTGCCATCAAGTTGGCTCCAACTCATGGCAATCCTAAGTACAATAGAATGAAATGGTGCCCAGTCCTGCACCATTTTCATAATTGCTGGTATGTTTGAGTCCACTGTTGCAGCCATTGTGTAACGCGCCCAACCTAGGGGGCTCATCTTCCAGCACTGTATCTGATGACATTCTGTTGTGAGCCAGATTTTCATTAGCCGATTTTCAGAAGTAAATCACCAGGCCTTTCTTCCTAGTCTGTCTTAGTCTGGAAGCTCCACTGAAACCTGTCCACCATGGGTGACCCTGCAGGTATTTGAAGTACCAGTGGCGTAGCTTCCAGTATCATAGCAACACGTAAGCCACCACAGTACAAAAAGCTGACAGACAGGTGGTGGCATAACCACTCTAGGAGGTGGGCGTTATTATTATTATCTCCATTTTACACATATAATAAGGTTTCTTTGGTGGAGATGTATATGGGGTTCTGGATTCCAATGGCAGAGCTACAAGGAGGCTAGTTTGCCCATGACACCCCTCTAAAGATGTCCTATCACCCCTTCCCTCCCATTTCCTCAGCCCATGCCCTCATCACCACCCCTCCCCAACACACAGTCCATATCATGCGGCCCCTTTGACCAGGTACATGTTCACGCACTTCAGTGCAGGTAGCTTTCAGGTTATGGACAGATGTTTGTAGGTCACTTTTTTCTAACCTGGAACAACATCTTCATAGAAACTCTTTTTATAAATACTGATTAGCGCTTAACCTACAATGCAACTGGGCTATACTACAAATAACACCAACCTCAGTTTGGGTTCTCGGGTGGTGGGGTCTACAAGATTATAAAGGAGAATTTCTTTCTCCTACTGGACATATGACCAGCCTTGGGCAACATTGGAGACAAAGTTGTCTTGGGTAACCTCCTATCACACTCCACTCTTTCTCTGGGAGATCCCTCTCTACTTTCTCCTCTGAAAGAAATGAAATGAAACAGAAGCTCTGGTTGTGGCTCTCGACCCCGTATTGAACACCCCCAGCCTTCTGCCCTACTTCACCAAGTGCTCCCAGATGACCTACCCTCCACTCCACCTGTCCCAGCTCACAATCCAGCCCACCTTGGATTCTACCTCTGGGGTCAGCACACCTAAAGGTTCCTCGTTTTTTTCCATAGCTTCCTTCCCACCTCTGAATCTGACCTCTCTGGCTTTCTAGAAGCTACTGGTTATTTCATGAACACTCCTCAGAAGCAAGGGTGAAGAAGAACAAATAGTTGCCATTCAAGTGCACAGAAAACAGGCATTTCTGACTTTGGGGTGGCCTGAAGACTTCTACACTATCCATGTGTTTCTGTCCATAAGTCTCCACCTACTGGCTCCATGGATCTTCTTGCTGATTCAGAGCCTGCGTGAGGTGGGTGTTAACCTACAATCTCGTTTTCACCACGATGGTCAAATATCTCATTTCCAGCACTGGCCACTCCTCCCTGCCTTCTCTCTTTTTCCCTATGGGATACAGTTGAGGGATCGGGGACCTTTACTCAACACTTAAGAGCCTGGTAGCTGGCAAACCCCCGGGGACTGAAGCAGCATTCTGACTGGCCTCATGGGGCTCTGCCATTGGAATCTAGCCCTCACATGCACCTCCATCAAGGAAACCCAATCATCTGAGAGCCATTTCATGAGCCAGCCACACCAAGAGCACTTCCTCTTTGATTCAGTACTATCCCTGCCTTACGCCCATATCAAAGCGACACAGACACTTTACCACACGGTGCAGATAATTTCTTGAGAACGTGAAGGCCCTTTTGAAAGAGATGAGAAGCGATCTCTAGGGCTTTCCAGTAATATTCTTTCCTCCCTGAAACAGTCAATGTGAGAAATCCACTTCCGGAAGGTGATCACCATCCTCCCACGCCTCCTCTACCACCCCAGGCCGCGCTCTTGAGGAAAAGGCAGCATCACGTCCTCCTGCCAAGTCGGAGGCCCCTCATTTCCACTGCTCTCAGCAGCCCTGACTCACAATGAAACTGCAACCTCAAGAGCCCTGGGGGCCAGGATTGCGAAAAGGAAATACAGGTGAATACACGCAAAAGCTGCCTGAGGAAAAGGTTTTGTTTCTCTTACAGAATGACGCTTCCAGGGCTGGGCAGAGGCCACAAGCTGGAAGAGGCTGTGGGGGCCAGGTGTTGTGCTCACCAGAGAGGGAAAGTACATCTCAGAACCACACATGCCAACCGCCTCCTGCCAAGGACAGTAGGCATGGGAGTTGGGGGTAGGGACAGGATGTTAGCTTTGGAAAACCACTCTGTCAAGCTTCCCACTTTCAGATGCAGAAAGCAAGGTCTAGGGATGCAAAGGAACTTGTGCCGGGCTCCAGAGTGGCAGGTCCAAGGCTGGAAGTCAGGTCTCCTAAAGGCCTGAGCCAGAGTTCTTTCTACTACGGGATTGACTCCTCTGTCCCCCGTAACCTCCTGTTGTGAGTCTTCAAGTCCATGAAGAGATACATCCAGCTTGAGTAGCTGAGCATTCCCACAGGCAATCTCAACAGCAACAGATGTACCCACTGCTTGCTCTGTGCCAGATGCTCATCTAAGCACTTGTGTGCATTTACTACCTCATTCAACTCTACAGTACCAACGATCATCTCTAATTGTTGACATTGCTGCACAGGAAAGCTTGGGAACTTGCCCAAGGTCACACAAGCGGTAAGTGGTAGAGCTGGGTTGCAAATTCAGTCTGACTCCAGGACCCACACATTTAACCACCAACCTCTGCTGCAAAGACCCTCCCAAAGACAGGGCACACCATGTGGTTTCCAATAACAGACACTTGGACCCAGTGTTGTGAGGTGTCAAAGGCAAGCCCAGCCTTTCCTTTCAGAGGTATACGAAGTCTGGCATATAAGAGAGGCTTCAGTGCCCAGCGCTTTGCTGCTCCTTTGTGAAATTGTGAATTGACTACTTGATGCCAATTTATGTCCAGTCCCCTCTTTGAGGCTCCTAAACTCAAGGTGTCTACTAGGAACAGTCCCAGGTCACCCAAAATCCAAGGCACAAACAGATTCTCTTTAATTTTTTTGAAAGAATAACATTTTTAAAAACACTGATACAATCATCAAAAAAATTAGCAGAAACTTGTCATACTTTCTTAAACTTATCTTAAAGTTTAGTGGTGGTTTGGGAGTCCTCCGGTGGTGCAAACAGCTAACGCGCTCAGCTGCTAACTGAAAGGTTGGAGGTTCGAGTCCACCCAGAGACACCTCAGAAGAAAGGCCTGGTGATCTATTTTTAAAAGTCAGCCATTGAAAACCCTGTGGAGCACAGATCTACTCTGATGCATATGGGGTCGCCATGAGTTGGAGCTGACTCAACAACAACTGGTTGAGTGATGTTTTAGTTTAAACTATGTCTGAAGCTTAGAAACATCAGAGGGCCTCAAAGATTCTTAAGCCAGCTCTGGAAACAGAAAGTTTCTGTTTTTACTCATTCTATAGAGAATCTCCCACAGTCTCATGGGCAACCAGGGCTCAAGCTTTAATTGGAACATGCAATGCCTGATTCAGTTCCTAAAAGGGTACCTGCCTTATCAAAGTGATTTCTAAATTAGTCAGATCAATAAGAATCCACCTACTGCTTCTGCCAGTCCATTTTGCATGGGGTAAGAGGAGAAGGGAATGCAAATGTATTCATTTGATTGGATAAATCCCGGCTAGGTGGGCTTGGAAATGTCCATTTTTACTTCTGAAGTTGTTCTAAAAACTGAGAAAGTAGAAGAAGCAGGGTTTTTTAACTGCTCCTCAGAACTGAAGGACAGAGAGAGACAGGAAAGACTAAAAAGTGGAAATGGAAAGTAGAGCCCCAAAATAAGCCTGCAGGAGAGTCCTCCAATAGCCCAAGGCTCCCCGACCACGCCCAGCCCTAGAACCCGTTCCT